ACTCTCACCCAGTTTGTATCTGGCAGCAAATACTACTTCGCAGTACGGGCCAAGGATATTTACGGGCGTTTTGGACCTTTCTGTGATCCTCAGTCAACGGATGTGATCTCTTCTGCCCAGAGCAGTTAAACCTTGGAGCCTTTATCTTTTTCTCTTTGAAAAGTTCCACTTTTTGGTCTTGTTTTAATCTTGTGCATGATACCCATTGTAAAATCTGCATTGTGCAAGATTTCTTGGACCAAGTGTATATACACTACATATTTGTTTATAATCAGAGTTAAATAAACTCAGCCCATAAAGCAAGAATCTTTTCCTGGACAATTCAAGCTTCAAGGTTTTGAAATGTAAACATGCACCTTCCTTTAGTTTTGAGGCTGGGGGATACGTATGGGTGTTTGTGTGGGCTCTTTTTTTCTTATTTATATGTTTATTGCCGTGGAATCTCCCATTTTCATTCTCAGATTTACCTCTCTTTTAGTATAAAGTAACTATTGATAGATCAAAGGATAGGAGGTATTTACAACTGTCGTGATTCTGCTCCTAGGGGATCTGTAGGTTCATAGTTAAATGATTTTAATAGAATCTAAACAAAACCCAAAGAAAAAAAAAGAAAGTTGGTTAAATAGTTTAAAATAGGTTAATTTGAACACAGGAAAGGATCTGTTCATCTTTTTTTGTTTGTTTTTTTGTCTCGCTGGGTTGTTGATTTGGTGAACATCTGCAATGGCCCCTCCCTTTTCTGCTTTTACTTTTACATTTATTTTGTGCCTTAAAGATTAACTACAAAAATAAGCATGGCCACTTTTCCATTGTTTACTCTTCCCTTTCAGCCTTTTAACATTTTTCCTTCATGTCCACAAAATAGAGCACACTCCCTCAAGTAGATTTTAAACCAAGGCTTTTATGTATATTCTTTGTCAGTGGCATTACCACATTTAACTCCAAAAATTTGACTTGCTATTTTTTCTAAGAATATAAATGCTTTTATTTTTGGTCACTATTTAAATTAACTTTATGTAAAGTGGACCAAGAGAAGACTGTATGTGTAAGAAAATTTTCCTTCAAACTTATTTTCATGTCTGTGTTCACATTGTGTTAGAAATTATGAAAGCAGTTCTAGTTTATTGCTCAAAGCATAGTATGCTTTCGAAGGAAATAGTCAAATTCACAAAACACAGTGAGCTGAAATATTAATGGAAAAGATCCATTATTTCTATTCTCATAACATTATTTGTTAACTTTTGACTTCATTTTGATGGTGCCAAGTTATGTCTGATTTACCCTATGTCAGCTTTGGATAGCATTTAAACTATATCCTTTGGGGTCAATTTATGTAACATTTATAACTTACTGTGCATCTCCGTTCCTCTTCAAAGTCCATCAGATTCAGCATAGGTCTTGCATTTTCCATATGAGTGGCAGCTCTGTTGGTATCAGGTAGTTTTTTGAGTACGGTTTGGGACAGGACTGTTGGGGTACATTTGGGAATGGGAGTGTGGTGGGGAATATTTTGAAAGAAATTTATGGAGTTTGTGAAATAATTTATCAAGTCATCTTCCCTTACCACATTTGAATTCATATTTCTACCTTCTGAAATTATACCTCTTGAAATTAGGAGGGAGCTGTCCCTTCTATTAATGCTGCTTTGTTTGCAACTTTGATGGCTTGTAATCGGAAGCATTCTAGTTGTAGTCTTTAGAGACGTTCCCCGGTCCGTGTATGTTGTTAGGTGTGAAGTTTGATTGATGCTGAAGGAGGCCTACAGATTGCCAAACTATCAGTGCTCCAGAACCTTCCTTTCACTTTCAGAAAATAAGACCACACAAGAATTAAAGTTTCCAGGAATCAAATTTGCCAACCAACTATGTAGATAGTACTCACTCTAGGACTAATGACCATGGTAAAAAGGTTGCCAATGTCATGCCAATGAAAATTTCAAAAGGGAGATATCTTCTAGATGTATATGAACACTTAATCTGTATCTGCATGTGTGTGTGTTTTTACCTGCAGTGGTTGCAATGTTGATTATGTGTTTAAGATCATTCCTGTCTACAGAATAGAAAGCTCATGTTCACAATTGTTTTTTATTGGCCGGTTTTATGGCCATGTGATAACAATTTGCTAACCTAGCCTAGAAAAGGTTACCTTGGTGAATGCTTTTATTTATATTCACTAATTCTTTTATAAAAACTTTTATAGCATTATATAATCATGTGAAGAAAGCCCAGTAAAATGAAAATATTAAATTGTTTGGGCCTTTATTCTTCTATCTGTTAAAGAAAAAAAACTCAAGTAGTAACCTAAAAATAGATTTACTACAGTAAAATAATTTTTTATTGCAAATGGTGGAAGGAAGGTACAAAGAAAGATGGTAATTATTTGAGGAAAAAGCGTATTATAAAAAGTCTCCTCAAGTTAGCCTGCTATGAAATTTATAGGCAACAGCTATCTTGGATTAACTGAAAGCTGCTAGGCTAGAACTCTAGTCTTTTATTTGGGGCAGGTTTTAATGTTGATGAGCACTTTTTGTTTGGTTTGTTTCTTTTGGGAGAGAGAATAGAGGACTCAACTAGAAATAGCTACTGATTATAGACTTTTTGTAGCAGTTCACACCCCAGATAGCTTTTTAAAATTCGTGGTACCTTGTCACAAAGTATCACAAATAAGCTTGTTTTTCCCATTTGGGGAATGCAAGTTAAATAAATTTTTAGCTTGACAATACTTTTGTTAAGTATTTGTTAGAAATCCTGGAAATTTCTGATATTTGAACCCAAAATGTAGGGTGTTTATATGGCATTTAAAGCTGTCAGTGACGTCTCTTTACTTTGCACTTTGTTAGAGTGATATCGCCCTGTTGTGTGAGTAAGCCTCTTTTTCAGACCTACCTTATTGCCAGTGAGTTTATAAATTATATACAGTGATAACATCTGCTTGATAACAGTTAGCTTGATGATGTAACTCTATCCCTCTATTTCTCTGGACTCACTTTTTAAAATATGCAGCATATTGTATACTGTTTAACACAGTAGAAGCTAATGAGGAAAGTGAAGAAAACTTTCTTCCATGGAAAGTGAGTATTTATTGGGGTACCATTTGCCTCACAGCAAGGTGTTCCCCACTCCCCCCACCCTTGTCATCAGATAAATGAAAGATTTGTCTGAAAAACAAGTTCTAGAGTAAGGATCTTAGAATCTTAGGCACATCTCTGCAGAACTCTTTAGGCAGACTGCACCATACAGTTCTCTTACTGTATTGCATAAGTGTTAACTTAGTTCTGTTGTTTGCTCCTTTGTTTATATTTTCTAAATTATTTATGCGACAAGGTGAGTGTTAATATGCATGACATGCATTTATCTTGTTCCACGAATTTTCCAGTACTGTACAAGATTAACAGAATAATGCCTGTGGTACCCTCCTCTCTCGCTTTCATACACGTGATTTTAGCACTGTGGAGTACTGCAAAGACCTTCCAAGTGTTCTCGCTGACTTTCCTTCTTGGGCTATTTTGGTATCTTACAGTTCATATGTTGTTTTAATTTTATCATTGACTAGTCGTCTTTGGCCTGTTTTATTCTAATTTCCAGACAAAAATTATGTCCCAGTATTAGATTATTGCAGATAACTTTATTTAAAAACCAATGTATGATTCTGCCTTCCTTACTGAGCACATGGATTCCTCCTCCCCCTTTTTTTGTACATTTTGGGACAAAGAAAAAGATGAGAACAATTCTTACGAGGTGTTTTGTGTCTCAGACTTACATAATTCCTAAACTCTATTCCTCTCGAGCCAGCCAATGGGGAGAAATAGGACAATACAAAGTTTTATCATGCTAAATAACTTTTTTTAATTTGTAGAGTCAGCTAAATACCAATCATGTATATTTAAATGATGTACTTTTTTAAAAGTTTTGTTTGTAAATAAGGTAACTGGGCAATCAAACACCTTTTGGGGATTCTGGCTTTGGTATCTCATCAGCCACTTCAAAGTTAAGTATAAAAATAAATCCTTTGTAGGAAAATTACATTCTGATTTTTCTTTATTGCAGTTGAAAGTGTAAATAGTAAGACAATGTAAGACCTTAATAACGTCTAATATAAACTGGGCTATAGCAAGTTGCCCTATTTTTATTAGGTTTTAAAGGTTTTTGTGTTTGTCTTTTATTTTCCCCCTAAATGTACAGTAGACTGGTGTCTGTATAAGTGTTAACTGTAGTGGGATTTTGTCCAGCAAGCCTGAAATTTATACTTTGAAATAAACTACTGGGTTTTTAACATTCTGAGTACTCTGATTCATTCTGATTGTTCTTGGCCCTTGGGTTTCTTTCATTTGAAAGTCACCTTATTAAAGATCGCCCATTAGATGGCACAGTATGGTTTATTTAATGTTTGACAACATCACATTACTGAAACTACACACAATTCTCTGTGGAAAAAAATTGTTATGCAGAGTTGCTCCCATATTAGATATGCTGCTTTCCACTAATGAGAGACATTAAGATTTGCTTTATTGTGTGCCTAGCCTGTACCACAAAAAGACTCAACTGATATCCGTTAATGCCCAGAAGAAAAATCACTCACTGCAAGAGGTTCCTTTGAAAACTCAGTTTCACCTTCCCCTATGTTTTTGTCATTAAGTACATCAGCAGGGGAAGCAGGGGCGGGGGCAGCAGGTGCACTGGCACCGTGGAGGGAGGAGCACAGGTGTTTTCAGAGCTGGGCCTGAGAGTGGCGCTCATCTCCTGAAAGGAGATTCTGTCGGCAAGAACTCCATCATGTGGCACAACTACCTAAGGGAACCTGGGCTATGTGGTCTGTGTGGCCAGACATAAAAGAACATGGGTTTTGATGTGTGCAGGAGCAGTATCTTCCATACCCTCTTGTATGTAAGTTTGTATGCTAAACCCTGGTGGTGTTAATCACAGTATGTTTTTTCTACAGTGCGTGTTACAGGGGATGCTTATTAACTACAAAAGCAACAGTGGCAAATGACAGTAACAGACTAAATTTAATACATTTTATTAAGACTAATTTTGAATGGAAAAACGTAGCTAAAAATAGTGCCTTTGGTTTTTTGCAGCCGTCTATTCCCTTCTGTTTCCACATGTCCTTCATTTTATGTCAGGTTTCAAAATTGGTTTCATAATAATAAAATCAAAGTTGTAGGCCTCCGGCATGCCCACATGGAGAGTTTTGTTGAACCGCGTCCAGTGAAAAATGGGGAGGCCGCCTTGAACCGTGGGACCACTGATGGCGTGTGCAGTGTACTCTGATGCTAGGTAGAGGTCTGCCACCTGGAAAGAGAAAAGGGGGACAGTCTAGAAAAACCATTTGGAAAAAACTTCACTAAACCCGTATTTCTTTTTCTGTTCTTTTTCCCAAGCCACAATGTTAGCCCCTTTAAAACAAAAGTCTTACCAGCTTCCCAATTTGCTTTTCTTTATTCATTTGGCATTGAAGTGTGAACATAGCCAAAGTGAGGTCTGTAATCAAATTAATCAGAATTCTACCTCCAGTATTTACTGAAAAGTAATCTCCACGTGACTCAGCTTTCTCAGTTGTGAAGCGGCTAATGACCTCACTTCACAGAAAAGTTGTCATGTAGATTAGTGAGAGCAAATGCTAGTTGCAGTGCTGAGAAAATATTAATTCCTTGATAAAAGTTTGTATTAATCAGTACAGTAACAAGACTTAGGAAGTGGAACTCAGTATCAAAAAATGAGGCCCACGGTTCTCAAAAACACCTAAATAGCAGGTAACAGCAGATCTTGACCTTAGAGGGGAAGAAGACAGTGTCTCAAAACTTTTGATTTTCCCCGTATTCAAAGCGACTCAACAGAAATAAAGTATATCATTAACAAAACTATTTTGATGAAGAAGTAGCAGGCTCCTGTTCCCAGAGGAAAGTAAAATTTGACAAACAGCAGGCTGTCTTAGATTCTCCTAGGCAAGTCAGCAGAGGTAGTTCTGTTTGTATATTTTGGAATGGCTGCAGTGGGTCAGACACTACTGAATGTTTGCAAATGCCATTAAAAAGAAAAAGACAAAAACATTTCATTGGGGCTTCATGTGATGCCCCACTATTTTTTTTTTTTTTTACATTGTACAGCACATTGGGAATCATTAAGGCCAAACCCTTGCCATCAGCACATCAGCACATAGCTAAAAAGTGGGGTGAGTTGGAACACAGACTAAGGCATCTACTTAGGCATTAAACTAGTAGAAAAAAATAATGTGGGGGGGCAGGGTGTCGGCATTCTTACAGTTTCAGACAGACCTAAGGCTAGAACAGTTAACTCATAACAGATTTCTTGCAGAATTTAGGACTGGAGTTACAAATGAAAAGACACATGCCCCCCAGGCCAGTGTGGCTCGGCTGGAGCATCACCCTGCAGACCAAAAGACACATGCCCAAACTAAAAGCGGAAAAGAATGTGGTAGAATGATCTCTCCAACTAGAAGATCTAACTTACACCCTTGGATACCCTAAATCCAGGAGTGTCCAGGTAAAACTTTTAACAACTAGCTCTCTGAGGGGGAAAAAGGCCCCGATTTGTAGAGTTTTGTGGTGTGTCCATGGTGTAAATATTGCTGCCATGGCTGATTTCAGGCTGTTAACCCCAAAGTCAACTGTTCTTAACAATGGTTCTCACAAGCCTGTATGACCTAGCTTCAGACCACCTCTGGGAACATAGTACCTAGAAGGCACATTATAGCCTTTATCAATTCTAACCTGGTAAAACCCCTTTAGTGACTTGGCATCTGGTCCAATAGTATTGTCACGCTGCTCTCAGTATGTTCTTTGGGCCAGTCTGGTGAAAACATCACTATCGTCAGTGACATTTTCAAACAACCCACTAAGTCTGTTCTAAATATTTTATAGATATTAAATGTTTATCATTCATAACAACCCTATGAGGCAATTCCTGTTACTTCCATTTTACAGATGAGGTAACAGAAGCATTATAAGAGTATGATTGCCTAGTAAGTGGCAGAGCAGGGACTTGAAGCTAGGCAATGGCACCTATCACCAGAATATCTGAAAAAGCTGAATTCTGAGTGAGTAAATGGTTAGATGCATCGTGCTTTATGCCACCAAAACCTTTACAGCCTTGCCTTTGAATAGGTGTAGGTGCTGGTGGAAATTACATTCAAAAGCTGGTAGCATGTTACCTTCGTATCATAGCAACCTCCAGGACTTGGGTCCACCGAGTTCAGATCCTCACGGCAGCAGATGGTATTGCACGGATCACCCTTACTATAAGGATCCTTCTTATAATCTAGGAAACAGAGATGGGGACAAGAGTGAATACTGGTTATTTCTGAGATCACGCTTGATCCACATTAAGCTTTTTGGATCTGTTCAAGCCTCGGTAATCAGAATATATACCCCAGAGGCCTCCACAGCCCAGCCTGCTCCCAGCTACAGAAGTCTCCTTTGGCTTGCACTAGGAAGAGGTAACTGCGGGTTCCCTGCTCCAGGCCCAGCCTGCTGTGAAGAACTTTGCGCAGTGGAGAGTGGATGAAGCAGAGATTAGCAGGATAAATGTGCATCATTTTTTTTTCAACAAAATACATACAAATTTGACACTGATACTGTTAAAAAATAAATTATTTGTGAATTATTTTTGTTTTATTGGTTGTTTCTGTCCTTGGAAGAAAACCGTTTGGGGAATGGGTGTGTGTAGTAAAAAAAAAAAGTACCCTGAGAAGTGATGGGATAAATGGTGATGGAAAAAATAATAATAATAAAAATTAAAATAGCAAAAGCAAAAAAGAAATGTGCCCCATAGAGGTTATTTCTTCTGTTTCACATATAATTTTTTTCCATTAAAAAAAAATCTGTAGCTTCTCCCCCCTGTCATTTTCTAAAGGTGGATGAAATTCTATTTGTTGAGTATAAAATACATATAGTATTATTTGAATACTAAATACTTAATTCAATAACTTCTTATAATTGCTCCTAGTACAGAGATGATAAACTTACATGGATTCTTTATCCATGGGGAAGAAAAGGAGTTTTGAAGAATGATTCTTGAGAAATGTGCTACGTACTGTTGTATCGCATGATATATTTCATGGATGCCATATCCGTAACTCTCCCTTGATCACGCCGGAAGATTTTGGCCCGTGGAGCCAGATCATAGGAGTAGTCCAGACCCAGCTTCTGAACTAACATTGGATAGCCACTCCAGTTGTAGATTTTTTCATGAAAAGGAATGTTGTAGGAGGGCCAGTATCCTGGTTTGCAAAGGAGGGGAAGGAAGGGTGCAGTTGACAGGGAGGGAGGCAGACAACAAAAGGAAAGAGTGAGAACAAAAGAAATGTTCGTAATGACTTTTTCTGAAACCTGGCACAGATCTGTAATTACAAAATGATATTATATAGAAAATAAAACTTGTGGGGTTCTTTTTTAAGAATTTATTATTTTTAAAATTTTTAAAATGTAATTATTCAAGTACAGTTTTATGTTTTTTACTCCCATCCCAGCCTACCCCCCACCCTCAGTGCTCCCCACCTCCCTCCCATTTCCACCCCTGTTAGTTTTTATTCCTGTGACCTTTATCCTTGTTCCTGCAAATCCTTCTCCTTTCCCCCTGGAATTCCCTCTCCTTTCCCCTCTGGTCACTGTCAACCTATTCTGTATTTCAGTGTCTTTGGTTATATGTTGCTTGCTTGTTTGTTTTGTTATTAAGGTTCCTGTTAAAGGTTGAGATCATATGGTATTTGTCTTTCACTGCCTGGCTTATTTCACTCAGCGTAATGCTTTCCAGTTCCATCCAAGCCATTGCACAGGGTAGGAGCTCCTTCTTTCTTTCTGCTGCATAGAATTCCACTGTGTAAATGTACCATAGTTTTCTGATCCATTCATTTACTGATAGGCACTTAGGCTGCTTCCAACACTTGGCTATTGTAAATTGTGCTGCTATGAACATTGGAGTGCATAGGTTCTTTTGGATTGGTGTAGAAAATAAAACTTTAAAAGTGAACCCTGGCAGTCAAATCAATCTTCATAATTTATAGAACTGGTATGCCTCTAGATTATTCCATTAGAGGAAATGAGCACCAGAATTCTTTGATTTTTTCACTCCAAATTATTACAGCAATCTATTAACCAGAAAATAACAGTGTTTACAAAGCCAAGTGAAGTATGAGACAAAGTGGTCTGGGCAGCTCATTTCAGTGGACTGGGTTAGTGAAATGCCAGTGGATGGTTTCACAGTGGGGTCCCAGTGGGGAACAGGCCAAGTGCCTGGTCGTGGGAGAGTGGAAGAACCCAGTGCTGGGCGTGGGCATTCAGGAAACCTGAATTCTAGGCTCAGGGATGAACAACCAAGTCTTAGGCAGTTAACCTAGTTTTTGTTGTTGTTTGTGTTTGTTTTTAGCAGGGGAAAGGGAAAGGAGAATCCATAATATGAGGGGATTGGAGATGATCTTTAAGGTTCCGGTAGGCTTTCAGTACAGTCTGGTAGACTCAAAGCATTCATAAAGACTCAGCTTCATTCACAACTTGGTGGTGTGCCAAGGCCACTAGCCACTAAGCATCAAACATTGGACACAACTATAGTAAAATCTATGTTTCAGGAACATCCCAGATTATAGCGGCCTGGGTTATTGCCTACAGAACAGTCAGTCAACATAGGGACCTCTCCATCATTCAGAGGTCTCTCTGGAGGCATGCTGTTACTGTCAGGCTCCTCGGGGCTGGATGGACCAGCCTTCAAGGTCAGACCGTGAGGGTCTCATGGTTTTGAATTGTCATGCTAACCAAGTAACCACCTAATGATTTGACTTCTGAGATGAATTTTCCTCCCAGAAAAGGAGGTAGGTCTACTACTTGATGGTATCTGATCTGCTTGGCAATTGCAGTTTTCACCTTGATTCTGTTTTATGTGTATTGTGTACATGTCATTAATGTGGGCCATTCCTCCTCACACACCAAATTGATTTGGGGACCGGGGGAACTGAGGACCCAGCCAGGATCCCCAGGGTTGATAGCTTATTTTGGTTCTGTTTCTGCTCATTGATCAGCCCATCTATTTCAACAGTCTCCTAACTAGTCTCCTGTCTTCTCTGTGCTCTCTAGTCTATTCTTTCTTTTCAGAAACTTCCATGTCCTAAAGAATAAAGAGGCCCAACGACTTAGCAGGTTATACAAAGCTGATATTTTCCCCTATCTATCTACCTTTCACTTCAGAGCCTTTCCTTTAGCTGTTTTTAGCTAATAATTTCTCAGTCACACCACTTTCATTTGTTTGATCCCATCCCTTCATCAAATTAGTGAGCTTTTTTTGGGGGGGGGGCTTTAAACCTCCACTCAAACATTGTCTTCACTTTCATTTATTCAACAAATATTCGGTGAGGATTTACTGTGTGTCAGTAAGTCCAGCAATGTGCTCAAGAATTATTTACAAGAATTATCTCAATTAATTATGTTCATAACCCTGTGACATTGTAAAAGTCTATACTCCCAACATCCAAAAACTCTTGGGGGCTAGAGTGTTTCAGAATTCAGGGTTTTTGTCAGATTTCAGAACGGCAATGGAGTGCATATATTAGAAATGGCATTAGTCTCTGCGGGGAACACTTCACACTCACAGATATTGATATTTCTGGGGCCTAATGTATGAACAGCCTGTAGAAGAGGAAATAAAGCTATAAATAGAGAGTACAAGTTAGTTCTTGCTACCAAATGGGTTCAGATCAGGTCACATTTTGCTATCACTTGAACAAGGACTCCCCACCCTGACATCCCTCAACAAAAGTTTTAGAGATTTGAGGTTTCAAGATTCAACATTACAAATGTGAAGGTGGACCCGCCCCATTACTGTCGTGTTTCGCAGATGAAGACAGTGAGACTTAGACTGAGTAATCTGCCTGAGATTTTTAGGAGCAGGGATTCAAATCAAGTCAGTACAACTCCCAAACCCGGGCTTCCAGGTCTGGGATACAATCCCGTTCCCCAGAACCACCCTCCCTGACCCCTCCCACTGATGAACTGACTAAGGCTCCTTTGGTCTCAACTCGGGCTCTGTGAAACCTGTGTTTGAATCAGTGCTTATCTCCATTCTTTGGTTGCTGGGTGCTATGTGGGGTGCTCTCTGGGCCTGGCTTCCCCACGAGACTGTGAGTGCCTGAGGGTCCGGAGTTTGTACCTGCATCTCTGCTTTTCTAGTCCCTGGGGTAGCACAGCACTCCCATAAATGTTTGCTGAATTGAACTAAAGGCTTAATTTGGGAACCCAGGAGAGAAGGCATTATTTGGAGCCATGGAAGTCACAAGGTGGTGAATGCCTGGCTTTGTCCCAATCAACACACTGTCACTTAAGAGTCTGAGATGCAGGTTTTGCACATCGTGCTGAACCTGGAAATTCTTTCCCAGGGTAACTAGCAATGGCATTCCCGCCCTTTCTTCCCCAGCACACAGCCCTCCATCACATACTCACACACACACACTCATCACACTTCTAGCATGAAGAAGGTACCTTTCCGAAGAACATCAGTTTGCTCAGAATATTCTACATACGAAGGAATTTGCTCTACGATGTACAGAGTTCCTGCATCAAGGCTGTACTTGGGCTTTACCTTCTTCAGGTCCAGGACCATGTATTGATTGTTATAGGTGCCTGAAATGTCGGGAGAGACATGAAACAGGGCATGACTATGGCTGTTCTGGCCACTCAAAATCTAAGCACAGGAACATGCCTGGAAGTTACTCTGCAAGGCCACTTACCAGAGTTGTATTTGGAAAATATCTCTGCCCACTGCCTGCCATCACTGGCCATCATGTTGGCCACACGAACTCTCTGCCAGGCCAGGAGAGACTGGGGTGTCACAAGCTTTAGCAGGGTTTTATTATACACACTATTCGTGGTCTGCAGCAACACCAAACCGCTGCTAAGAATGTAAAAGTCATCCAGGGACTCTAGAAACCCTACACGAAAGACAAGTATGCAAATCAGCGTGTGTATACATGAAACATTGAACCATCGTTTAGCACAGAACTTTGTACACGCAATGCATTTTGCAAAGAGTGTCAGTTATGATTATCCTTGGCCTGCAGCAGCCTCTCCCAGCTTGGGCTCACCGCTGCGGCAGCTACTCAGCTGCAACTTAGAAGGATATAAGTGGACCCCCCCTCCTTGGATTCACCAGTGAAATTTTTCCATTTTATGATTTGGGATGATAAAAATATTCAGCCAGGATTATTCCAATTTGCTCAAATGCTGTGTAGAAATACATCCCCACTTGCTAGGGTTTTGCAGGACAACTTTCAATCAGGAAGAGGTCTGAGCAGGGTTCGTGGTTGGCTTATAAGAATATGAGTGACTTCTTCTCTTTCTACTTCTCTGTACTTCCCAAATTTTACCTAATGAGTCTAAATGATTTTTATAAATAAAAAAAGCTACATTTATAAAAGCAAACATGGTTTTGAAGCTCGGATATTGGCACTCTGGGTCATGCTTTTTATAAACGGTGGAGTCAACACAGAAAATCAGTGAATCCACGCGTCTTTTTTTAAAGACTTATTTTGTGTTTTATGCTGTGATGAGTGTGGTGAAGATCAAGGACTATCAGACATGGCCGTGACAAGGAAAGAGGATGTATTGTCATTGTCAAGTAGCAAGGACCGACACACTCTCAGTGCTGAGCAGACAAGAGAGAAGGGCCCCAGCGAGAATAGAAGGGGGCTGCGTGTAGAGTTTCCCCAGTGCTTCACAGACTTCCACAACTTGCACACACCTTATCACTTTTGTCACATCTGATGACCACCTGTACTATTGTTTACCTACCATTTTTCCTTAAATCAGCTCTCTTTTCAAACTTAAAGTACCTAGCTTTGTCACATATAGTAATACCCAGGGGACTATGGTTTAATGTTTTTGAGATTTTTCTCCCCAAATCAATACATTTAAATAAATCCATTTCTACTAACATGCCAGAAAACACTTGTTCACGAACCACTTCATACCACCTCACCAGCACTGTGCACACTACACATGTAGTCTGACGCCTTCGTAATCGGTAAGAGCAAGATGCGGCATCCATTCGAGATCAGACAGCAATCTCCTGGCAGAGCGAGGGTGCGTGTCCTTGGTCCAGGCCAGGGCTCTCCCCACTAAGTCTGAACACCTGTGCTCAGCCGCACGGCTCTTCTTCTTCTGGCTTAATGAAAGCTGGAGAAGGAGGGAAGTTCCAAGTGGACCCGGAGCTAAGCATTGTCCGGGTGAAGGGCAGTGAGCATTACAGGTAGGAACAATAACACGAACAAAGGAATAAATATGGCTTAGGAGAGTGGAAGTTTGGGAGGTGGGGACAAAGAAATGTTAGAAAATACTGTTGGATGGTCATTCATTCGTTCACTCAACAGGCACCTGGATAGGTAGCGTGGGATCAAATACAGGGGACACCTGAAGCGAAGAGTGAGCCTTCAGAGCGTGGATTGGGAGTCAGAACCTCAATTCTCTGCATTGCCACTGACAGATTGGGCACTTCCTATTTTTGCCTCTCTGTTCTTTAGTCCCTTTCTCTGATAACCTGGGACTGAGTACCTTCTGGCTCAACAGTTTAATTTTAATTTTTGAGTAGGAAAATGACATTTTGAGAGCAGTCTCCACTGAGGTCTTGGAGCCTCCCCTCCACAAGGCTGTGCAGAAGTGTGTATAAAGGAGAGAAGGTTGCCTGCTCCAGGCGGTACAGGTTCAACAGCAGGCACCCTTGAATGAAATTTTAATGGGCAACTTCTCTGGGAAATCACGGCCTGAACACAGGATGCATGGCTAGACAAGCAAAGTGGGGATAGAGTTCAGTGAGTATTCATCGACTTCTTGGGCTGTGCTCCTCTGCAGTGTCTGGGAGGCAAAACCATGCTTGGCAGCCTTGAGGAAGCTCCCTGGTGGAAAATCCCTGTGGGCTGGAACACTGGGCTTCTGTCGTGACAAACTTCCTCATTCACTCCTATTGTAGCAATTTCTATGGACGCAAGAGGGCAGGCGTTCTTTAATAGTTTGAGTAATTAATACTAACATCTGTAAGGAGTAGTCTTTCATTCAAGAGCAAGACTGTTTACTTTAGAGAAGGAAGAGTGTAGGCCACCCAGAATTCTAGAACGAACAGGATGAATTGGCTTGTAAGTCCTCCAACCACAGAGTCCAATTCTGTAGTGTAGACTTTAAGATTAAAAAACAAAAACAAAAACGAGAAGGCCCAGAGCTGGGACAAAGTCCTGAAACATACCACATATACCACATGCCTGACAAATGTGATGAGAACGGACAGGGAGTCATGCATTTAAATGGCGACAACGCCCCCACAGGCCGGAGCAAATGCAGAAGAAGCAATTGGGAGAGAGTGAGTCACAGGGAGTTGCATGTTTAGACAGGGTGGAGCTGGAGAAAATCAGTTTATGACCAGTTAATCAAGAAAGCATGGAAAAGTGGGTGGGATTTCTGGAAAGATAGAAGGGAGGAAGCTTCCTGAGCTAGGTGGGGGAAGATGACCAAGACAGGCAGGGCCTGGCAGAAGTGTCCTGGGATGGTGACAGAGAAGACATAAAGAACAAAAATATCAATAATAATAAGGTACTTAAGAAAGCAGAAAATTAAGTGGTGTAATCCTTTGGAATAGGTGACCTACTTCTACTTTTATTTCTTTGCTTCTACTTTTTAAAGGTAAAAGACATGAAGCTTAGCACCTATTAACTTACAGGTTTTTAATTTCAGCTTCATGTCCAAAGTATCTAACATAAAAGAACAAATGTGAAATTAATCTAAGTAATAGTATAGTAAAATGTTTATAACACACATAGGCAATTGTATAACCTATGAAAGTAATAACATTATAGATTACGAAGGAGACTTGATGAAATTATCCTGGGGCCTCGAGACTATTCTTCTATTTTCCTTTGCACCTACTTTAAAGTATTTCAACTTACAACAGGAAAAGGCTGAACAAGGTCTCATGGCAGCAAGGAGGGCTGCCCTAGAGTCGGAAAGGATGGGCTTGGACCAGTATGTTAGAATCACCTAGGGTCGTGTTTACAGATGTCCTAGCCCAGATCCACTGAATAAGCATTTCTATGGATGGCACTTGGGAATTTGCACTTTTGGCAAGCTCCACAGGAAATTTTAAGTTTACGGGCTGTGTATATCTGTGGGGGAGGTGATGGGATACCTGGATATAATTCAAAGTAGGAACACATACATACATGCATACCTGGTAAAACACACCAAGCGCATTCCAGAGAGCCTCACTGATGGATAATTAAGCTTGAAGCCTATGCCTCATATAGATAATCATTGCTGGGATTCCCAATTAGAACACTTTGAATAGGTTCAAGAACGTGTTCCCACATGAAAACCCCACCCATCTGGTATGCCAGCAGGCCCTTTGAATTCATTTTTTTCCCCAGTTTTAATCATTTACCCTAAATGCAAACTGAACTCTTTCTGAAAAAAAAAAAAAGATATTTATAGTTAGATATATTGCATTTGAATCCTAGTCCCCAACTTCCGAGTGGTATGATTTTGAATAGGCTATTTAACTTCTTTAAACCTGTTTCTTTATCTGAAAAATGTAGATACAACACCCTCCTTGTTAGGTTTTTACGGCAATGAAATGACCTTATATACCAACAGTTTAGTATCGTGTCAGATACTGTGCCAGGGACATAGGTAGGAACTAAACAAATATCAGGGTTTTTTTTCTTTTAATTTCAGTAACAAGTGAGCACAGACGAGTTTACAGAAACTTATTTAACACTTGGGAGCTGTCTAATTCCCATAAAATTAGTTAGGTCCGATGCATGTAATTAATAATCAGGGTGACTACAAAAGATTAGCTTCAAGGTCCAATTCTTGTGCTGAGCACACTGGTCTGCATCTCAAATGCCCGGATAAGACTCCTGAACATGCTGGGCTCTTGTTTTCAAGTCAGGGGTGTAAAGGGGAGAGAAGCAGACTAGAAAACAACGAGGCTGTGACAGAGACCCTCACCTCCACCTTTCACTTTGTTTCCCCCTCTTTGTCGCTTACAGTTCCCAGCATGTCCTCATCTGGGTGGGTCACCCCTGATCTGTCTGCCTGTCCCTTTCCTTTCCTTTCCTTTTTGCGTCCCACTTTCTGCTTTTCCTTTCCTCCTTTTCTCCTTCCTTGCTTCCATAAATATGTCTTCAATGATCACAATGTGCGAGGCTCTGCACTGGGCCTGGGGAAGTGGACATGAATATGGAGCATGAACTCAGAAGAAATGATGCGCAGGGTGCCAGGGAAGCTCAAAGGAGGGGATCGAGTACTCAGCCTGAAAGTGAGCAGAGCTTTCTAAGAGGAGGTCCTGTGATGCCTTCCTTTAGCATGGAAAGCATTTGGGTAAAATGTTTTAAATGACAATAAAAATGCTCATGCCAAAGGTGACTATTCCAATAATAGCAGCACAAAGAAACTGTGGGGGATTTCTCCCACATATTAAAATGATGAACACTATTTCAAATTATTTAAGACAAGTAGTTGAAGGTACTAGAAAGTGACCAAAGGCAGGGAGAAACTGAACACTGGTAATATTCGTTAAGAACATGAGTAAGTGGCTTCCTTGCTTAAATGTATTAATACTTCCTATCCACTACCCCCAGCTCTGGTGGTGAAAAATTGCAGCCATAAAGACTTCAGGGGGCAGATGTCTGAGTTCAGTGCTGCAGAACAGCTGAGAATTTAAGGGGCAAGTTCTGGGGAGCAAGAGAGAGAACTACAGAGGAGCAGAGATCCAAAACCTGAACATAAATCTCCAATTCTCTGGCTGACACTAACTATGCGAGAGTGTGAGAGGCGCCAGCGATCCCAGGGTGAAAACAGGAAGCAGTGAGAGATTTCCTCTTGTGAGCCCCTGGCGATTGTTCCCGGTGAGATATGTGAGCTCGCCACGACAGTGACAGGGTATCCCCCAACTCAGATACAGCTCGGGCTGCTCAAGCTGTTGCGGGGCAAAATTTAGAGCTGGAAGAACAAATGGAAAGTTAGAGGAAACCTTAGAAACACGCAAACCACAGAAAGAGTTAGCTCTAATATTTCAGTTAACCTCTGCCAAAATCCTTGGCTGTCTACTAAACAAGGTACAGACACAATCTCCGAACAGCCAGTTTGAAAAGGAACGTGCAGAAGTAAGAGAAACACGAAGCAAAGACGTTGGCTGCTGCACACTGCATGGAAGATACATTCTGAAGTTTGATTAATTACCTCTGATCATAAAACACCAACGATTCTCAGAACAACAACTCTACAGTCACTATAATGTGCTCATCTTCAATGTCCAGTGTCCAACCTAAAGTTATTAGACATAAGAATTAACTAAGGAAACATTCCCCATACAGAAAAAAAATGAATAGAAACTGTTTCCAAGTAGGCTTTGATACTATAGTTAACAAAGACTTCAACTTCAAACAGTTCGGAAAAGAAAAATATGGTATTAAAAGTTACCAGAGGAAATATTAACAGAGAAATGGAAACTAAAGAAAGAACAAAATGGCTGTTTTAGACCTGAAAATTAAAATAACTGAAAATAAAAATTTCACTAAATGGATCCTACAGTAAACTTGAGATGGCAGAAGAATCAGTGAATTCAAAAAAGATCAATAAAATATCCCATGAGACCACTAGAGAGAGAAAACAAATACTGAAGAAAAACAAAGCCCCAAAGACCTGTGAGACAGGATTAAGCAGTCCGACATATGAGTAATTGGCATCCCAGACAGAGACGAGGGACAAAAGTGGGTGGAAAAATATTTGAAGCTCTAACTGCTGAAAATTCTTAAATTTGAGGGAAAACATTAATATGCAGATCTTATAAACTCAACAAACTCCAAATAGAATAAATACAAAGAAAGCCAGGGCTAGCATTTCATGAAGCCAAAGGTAAAATATATATAATAGAATAGAATATATATACATACACACAGAGATGGTCTGACTTATAATGACTTGACTTATGATTTTTCATGTGTACAATGGTATGAAGGCGATATGGATTCCATAAAAATCATACTTTGAACTTGGAATTTCGGTCTTTTCGTGGGCTAACAACATGCTGTGTAATGCTAAGTGATGCAATTAACTTTAGTTCAATGCTCCAAACATTCCTCAGACCCATTGTGCTTCCATCTGTGTATGTAAATGGCAAGTGCCTATACAAAGATTCTGTTTTTCACTCTCAGTACAGCATTCAACAAATTACGTAAGATAGTGAATATTTTATTGTAAAATGAGCTTTGTGTTAGATGACTTTGACCAGCTGCAGACTAATGTAAATGTTCTGAGCATTTTGAAAGTGGGCTAGGCTAAGCTATGATGTTTGGTGGGTTAGGTATATTAAATGCACATTCAACTTATTATATTTTCAGTGTACAGTGGATTTATTGTGAGGTATCCCCATAGTAAGTTGAGGAGTATCTGTACAATTTTTTCCTTGCAGTCAGATTTTTATCTTTGGTTTTGTGATATACTACCTCTGATTTTCTTTATATTTATTCCATTTGAGGTTTGTTTTATATATATACATATAAAACACCTTAGATTCTTTTTTTTATTTTTAAGGGATTTTATTTACTTACTTTTAGAGAGCGGGGAAGGAGGTGAGAAAGAGAAGGAGAAAAACATGCAAGAGATACACTGATCAGTTGTATCTCATGAGCCCCCAACTTGGGACCTGGCCTACAACCCAGGCATGTATCCTGACTGGGAATTGAACCAGCAACCTTTCAATTCGAAGGCTGGTGCTCAATCCACTAAGCCACACCAGCCAGGGCCATCTTAAATTCTTTAAAAGACATGTGTTGAAATGAAAATTATGACACCATATTAGCAAGTTTATAACACATAGGTATAACACATGACAACAACATCATGAAAAGTAGGGGGGCACTGAGTGACATTATGGCCATGTGCAAGGATCCAACCTTTTTTTAACCAGACATAATTAGGTATTTGATTCATGTAAATTGTGATGCGTTAAAGATATGTATTATAATTTTCAGTGTAACCACTAAAAACAAGGCAAAGGAATACAGGTAGAAAGCCAAATGGGTTACTAAAATTTGCACTATTTTATTAGAATACTAATACAAAAGAAGACAGAAATAAAAGAAAAAGAGAAATAATATAAAGACACCAAATAGCAAGATGGCAGGCCTAAATTCACATATATATATATTAACATTAAATATAAATGGACCAAGTGCTCTCATCAAAGGTCCAAGCTTGTCAGGCTTAACTATTTTTCAAAAAGCACAAGAAAACTGGAGTGGCTTTATTAATATAAGACATTACAGATTTTTTTTAAAGAATGTTACAGAGTGTGTGTATATATATATATATATATATATATATATATTTAAAATATTTTATTTATTTATCTTTAGAGGGGAAGGGAAGGAGAGAGGAAGAGAAATATTAATATATGGTTGCCTCTCATGTGTCCCCTGCTGGGAACTGGCCTGCAACCCAGGCATGTGACCTGACTGGGAATCAAACCACAGTTGTTTGTTTAGTAGGCCCGTGCTCAATCCACTGAGCTATACCAGCCATGGCAATATAAGACATTACAGATTTTAGGACAAGGGATTTTACTAGAGACAGAGAAGGACATTTCATACTGATAAAAAGATCATTTTACTAGGACTGTATAGTAAACAAAATTTATGAATGATAGAGTATCAAAATACATGAAGCAAACTTACATAAATGAAATGAGAAGTACGCAAATCAATTTATTATAGTTGAAAGTGTACATATTTTCTTAGTAATTAGTAGAAAAAGTAGCTAGAAAATCAATAAGGATATAGAAGACTGAACCACACTAACAACTAACTTAACCTGATAAACATTTATAGAATGCTACACTTGGAAATACCAGAATGCACATTCTTTTCTACTGCATTCACTGAGAAAGATCTCATACTCGGTCATGAAACAGGTATCAAAAAAGTTTATAAAGTTTAAAATTATACAGAGTATGTTTTCTGATCACAACAGAATTAAAATAAAAAAATAGAAGTATATCTGGAAAGGCTTCAAATTTGGGGGAACTAAACAATAGTTTAGTTTTTTTTTTAAATATGCCTCAAATTTTAATAAGATGCCTTATGTGCACATTTGCTACTAAATTGAAATAGCACACAGAAACACTTGTTACAGTTCAAATTTTTGAAAACGAGAGAAATCTACCTAATACACCCTGCACCAATCATGCTCTAGCCAAACCACCCTTTTCATTTTTTTTAACATTCCTTTTGCACAAGTTACTTGCTTCTAATTCTTGGTGTTCAATTACATCTCACCAACTTCAGGCTTCTAAAACAACAATGACACTTAAGACCTATCAGTACTTTTTCGAGTCAAATAAAAAAGGAACTGAAGTGTATTTAAGTCATTCAAATGCAAACCACCCATACGTTGATTCCCCTTAAGTTAGTGGCATCAAGGTGGACAAGAAAAGGACATCACAGAACTATTGTAGGCTATCAAAATATTGGTCTAGTCTATCCTAGCCTAGAGTAACTTTCCTAAGCTGCTACATAATGACATTAAAATTACCGGCAAAAAAGCCCAAATTACAAGAATAAGGCTGTGGCTAAACCGACTCCATGTCATAACTATTCTCCATTTCAATATAATCAGAAGGATCTCCATAATGTAGGCGGTAAAGACAGGAACATCTAAATTTTCTGGCTCTTGCTTCAATCTCAAGTTTGCTCTCCTCTGGGGTTTTTTTAAGCAGAGACAGGGTGCAGAATCTAATCACTTGTAACGCCCTTTGCATCTTTTCTTTGCGAACACTTGCCACTGTCCTCACTCCATGCCTTTTTTCGATGAGCATGCTTTGACACAGCCCAAGGCCCTGTAAGCTCTTTCCGCTCTCCTGCTTTTTGGGTGAACTTTCTGGTGGCAGGGGAGGCAGTTTGATGTTAGGGTTGAGAGTCAAGTTACGAAGGTTCTTTGCTAGTAGTCCTGAGAAAGCTTGAGTGTCAGCCGAATATCCTTCAGCAGGAACCTGAGTAGACTCCAGGTTCCAGGTTGGGTTAAACGTTGGTGAGTCCATTGGATGTCTAGTCACAGCCTGAAGCTCCTAAGATTTCCCCAAAGAGTTCAGCAGCTGGTGATATTGAAGACTCTCTAACTGTTACAAAGTAGCTTGGAAAGAACCCTACAGCCTAGACAGAGCAAGAGAAAGGCCAGACTCTACCACAACGCGAAAGAGCCGACCAATAGTTTAGTTTCTAAGTTACATTTCTAATTAAATTGCAAATAAAGAAATTGTGAGAAATTAGAAAATATTCTCAACTGAATGACAGTGAAAACAAAACATACCAAACATTGGCAGATACACTGAAAGAAGTGCTTAGAAGAAAATGTATAGTTTTATTTTTTTATAGTAGAAAGGAAGAGAGGTAAAAATCAACTAGCTAAGAGTCTACCTTAAGAAGGTTGAAAAAAAGCCACAAAATGCAAAGGAAATAGAGGAAAGAAAATGATAAAGAATGTGAATCATTGGGGAAGAAAAATAGACAAACAATGGAAAATAAATCAAGGAAAATAAAATCTTGTTATTAAAAAACATTAGTAAAATGGATACACTTCTAGGAAGACTGATCAAGAAAAAAGACAATATCATGAATGATTAAAAGAACTTAACTACAGAAGGAAACTTGACTTGGGGTAGTGAACACCCAATACAATATACAGATAATGTATTATAGAATTGTCCACCTGAAACCTATATAATTTTATTAACCAATATTACCCCAATTGGTCAATAAAAAATAAAAATCAATAGAAAAGGAACTTAACTGCAGATGCTTCTGACATTAAAAGGTTAATAAAAATAGTATAAATAACTTTGTCAGTAAACATAACAACTTAGAAGAAATTAACAAATTCATTGACACAAATTTTCAAAACTTACTCAAGATGAATTAGAAAACCTCAATAGTCCTATATCAATAAAAGAAATAAAAGAAATTGAATAATTAAAAACTTTCCCAACAAATAAAACTGTATATCTAGATGGCGTAGTCAATGAATTATATGAAACATTTGAGGAGAAAATAATACCAGTCACACACAAACTTTTTCAGAAAACATAGGAAAAAATAATTCCCAACTCAGATTATAAGGGCAAGGTTACCATGATGCCAAAACTATAACAAGAAATGAAAACCATTAATCAATATCTCTCATGAATATAGGTGAAGAATCCTTAAGAAAATGGCATTAAGTTGAATAAATATTTTTGATAATATATTATTAATAAGTGGTGATTATCGCAGGAATGCCAAGTTCATTTAATAAATGAAAATCAATCAATGAAACTCACCATATTAAAAAAGGAGAAAAATTATATGATCACTTTAATAGAAGCAGAAAAAGAATTTCACAAAATGTAACACTCATTGGTAGGAAGAGTGTAACATTCATTGGTAAGCTAAGTAGGAAGAGAAGGGATCTTCTTAACCTTATAAAGGTTATCTATAAAATTCCTACATCAAGCATCATACCTAATGATGAAAGACTGAATATGTTTCTCTTAAGTTCTAGGCAAGAATTGCCTAGGGAACTAGGCAAGAATTATCATTCCCTGTTAGTGTACATTGTCCTGGAGTCCTTACCCAGTGCAATCATGTAAGACATCAAGGGCATACAGGGGGAGAAAGAAGTGAAATTATCTTTGTGAAGAGATGATTATGAATATAGAAAAATCCCAAGAAATTTATAGAAAAACTATTAGAACTGATAAATGAGTTTAGAAAGTCCTCAGGATAAAAAGTAAATATACAAACAAATTATATTCTTGTACTGTGGTCATATTACATTTCCAATTTTTTTTGACTGTGGGCTGATCATAATAACATGCTTCTAATGAGTAGAATGTGGTGGAGGTGACAGCATATGACTCCTGAGACTAGGTCATAATAGGCATTGCTGTTTCTGCTTTGTTCTTTTGGATCACTTGGTCTTGGGAAAGCTGGACACCTTGTCATGGGGACACTTGAGCAGCCCTGTGGAGAGGCCCAAGTGGTTGGTAACCAATTTGCCAGCACACCTTGTCAACCATGTGAGTAACCTTAGAAGTACTTCTTCCAGCCTCAGTTAAGTTAGAGAGTTCAGTCCCTCAGTCTGTGAGTCTTCCAGCAGAAGCTCCAGATAGAGTGAAATAGAGACAGGGCATCCTCACTGTGCCCTATTTACATTCCTGACCCATGGAAACTATGAGATTCTAAATGATTATTGTTTTTTCAAGCCACTAATTTTGGGGGTGACTTGTTATGTAGTAATAGAAAACTAATGCATATATACAAGCAACAAAGAATTGAAAAAAGGAGTAAAATATCAATTCTGATTATAGGAGCACCAAAAATTATTTAAGATTCAAATGAATTAAAGGTATGTACAACCCATATACTAAAAACTACCAAACATTGCTCAGATAAAAGAATATCTGAATAAATAGAGATATTGTGTTCATAGATTGGAAGACTCAGTGTTAATGACACTGATTTTCTCTGAATTGATTGAAAGGTTTCTTGCAACTGAAGTCAGTAGACCCTTGTGCTGAGGTCTTCATAAGTGGTATTTGCTCCCTTTTCAGTGCTATCATTCTCTATGGGATTTCTCTCCATGTCTGTCTTATCTCTTTGGCTCTTGACTTGCACAGCCAAAATCAACACTTAGGTGTGTACAGTATCCTGAGGTAGGGCTACTCTGGGGCCTTTATCTTCCTTAGGCTTATCAGTTGCTAGGTAAATTGGACCACAGCTATTCAAAAACCCATGTGAGGGGTGGAAAGCTTCTAGAACAAGGTTATCCAGGGCCACCTTCCTCAGAGCTTCCAGAGCCTCAGGCAAGTATGTTTTTCAGGGCCCCTGCCTACAAAACAATTGGATGAAGAAATATTTTCCAAAATTTATGGGCCAGGTGAGATGTAGTGGTTTACTGATGAAGATTTAGAATACTGGGTGGAGAAAAGTACAAATGTATTTGTCCAGTCAGTACATGTGAAGATTCTTTATAGTGTCCGGGTACCATCTCTCTGTGTTACTTATTATCAAATGCATTATTCCTGGATAATTTTAAATCTCCCACCATGAGAAAAAGGTAGCAATCCTGTTCTCACTCACAAAGCCACGACTCTGTAACTTGCTTGTACTAAAGCAACATGGATTTCTTTGCCCCTGCCATTCCCTACCGCCATTTACTTAATGACTCTGTAATAGCTATCATGCCACCTGTCGATACTGGCTGCTAATGCCTCTCTCAAAGGTCTTTACTGTGATTTGTTAGTGATGGCCACAAATTCAAGTCTTATACAGAGCATTAAGAGAAACATGAATGATAATTTCTTTATGGTCATTAAAGTTAAATTCAGAATACCATAGCATAAACATAGATCAACCTATTTTCCAATTCTTTGTTCTTGGGTTCCTTCAGCTGTAACCCTTGCATTCCTAGAATGTGATCTCTTTCCACACCCCCACGTTTCACACCCCCCCCAGCAGTGGGCACCATTAGGGCAGAGGCCTGTGGGCAGGGCCAGAAGAGCAGTCCCAGTTGCACAAGGAAGATTCAAGCATCGTAAGACTGGCCTGAGAGTGTGGGAAGCCACATCATTAACTAAAGGCATGAAATCAGTCGAAATGCCCATTGGCGCTGTGGAGCAAGGTTCTCAAAAGCCCCCATAGGAGCTGGCCCCAGCTCTCCCCAGAATATTGCAGTGAGATGAGGTGACAAGGGCCAGCAGTGGAGCTCACAGAGTGAAGTTCACCTGTCACTTCCCCTGCTGCCTTTGAGTGCTGCAGAAGGAAGATGGCACTGCAGTGACAACACATGCTGAAGCCCAAGGGTAAGCACTTAGAACCCAGAACTTCGGTCTGACTTTGGTCACTTAGAACCCAGAACACATGCTGTGTCTGCCATGAGGGTCACCCAAACTCATCGTGTTACCAACATTCTGTCAGTTCAGTGAGGTAAGAATATACTCTGAGGGCCAGCAGAAAGGATCTACTCACCAGGACCTCCTTATAAGCTTGGGTCCCAGAGCTCCTCACGGCATCTTGTTGAACTTGCCTGTGGATGTGGGTAGAGGGAACCCCCCCTCCAAAAATGACAGATATGGGCATCTGATGCACATGGGTCCCTCTCTGAGCTTGGCCCCACCTGAATGCCATACTGGCTGGTCTTGGGCACTGGAAAGATAGATAAAACATTTCTATCTATCTGTAATAGCTATCATGCCACCTGTCGATACTGGCTGCTAATGCCTCTCTCAAAGGTCTTTACTGTGATTTGTTAGTGATGGCCACAAATTCAAGTCTTATATAGAGCGTTATACACTGTCTTATACACTGGAAAGTCTTATACACTGGAAAGATAGAAAAGTCTTATACAGAGCATTATACAAGTCTTATACACTGGAAAGACAGACAGAAAATTTCTGGAAAGGTGCTTCCTAAATCAGATATACTTGAGACCCGGGCCAGGGCCAGGATGCCCCAGAACCTCTAGCCTGCCTAGTCTCAGGCTGCTGGGGCCAGGCTCAGAGTATTGTGAGGAAGATGCTGCAGAGCCAAAAACTCGCTGCCTGGGCTTACGGGTGGTGTGGATGTTATCAGCACCTGGTACACATTTGACTTCCTCAGGACATTTCATATTATCATCTTCAGGTGAAATAATTTCTCCAAGGGTAAAGGAAATTCACAGTTTTTAAAAACTAGACTAAAAAGGACTGAGACTACCAAATCTAGAAAGGATTAAGATGGGGGTTATAATATTAATGTATTCCTTTGCCTTAACCACCTCTGTTTGTATGGAGTCAGTGAATGAATGCTCTGGTGCACAGGAGATTGGCTTAGGTCAGCCTGGGTGTGTTGGAGACAGTAAGTCCTTTTGTAATGCTGATGACTGCATTGTGAAGGACTGCACTGTTCCTTTTATTTTCCGGTGCTGGTGCACAGTGTGGGGAGTGAAGGGCCATAAAATATTGGGGGAAAGAATTCATTCCATGCTTGGACTGTTATCATTTAAATTGAGAGTATTAACAAAGCAGGTTTCATAAGATTTTATGCATTCTCTCTTAAGCCTGATCACCCTAGGGAACTCACCCTCTCCAGCAAAGGAAAGGAGAACTGCCTCCTGGCAGTTCTCATTAGGTAATCACCCGGCCTGTATTCTGGCTAGGACCACAGGCACCCACAGAAAGTCATTCACAGTCATTTTTGACATTTTGTTTTCTCCTTGAACATGGATATTGGTCTTCCATCCATAGATCTTTTGGCCATCTATAAAACATATGGTTTGAGTCACCTGGATTATCGTACCACCCTTCTAATGTTCTGTGGACAGCCTCTCTTGTCCTCTTTTCATGGGCCAGACAATACTAAAATGTAAATCTATTTATGCCACTCCCACTTGTGACTCTAATGGTCTTGCATTGATCTTTGTTCCTTCTCTCTTGCCTTCCCCACACTTGCTCTTGCCAATAGGCCTTTATACATGCTATTTGTTCCATCTGGAATATTCCACCACCTCACTATCCCCAATGGTCTGGCAAATTTATACTTGTCTTTTGTGCCTAAACTTAAATTTTACTCTCTTACAGTCTATTTCAACATACCCAAACTGGTCTTGCCTATTATTTATTACACAAATCACACTGTATTATCATTGCTTTTTTCTTTGTATCTATTTTTCACCAGAAGACAAATTTTGTTAGAGGAGAAACTGTATCTGTCTTGTTCTCTGGTGGAAACTGTCCTGCCTGGTTTCAGAATCTGTAATCTCCCCATGGCTAAGGCTGAGTGAGAGGCCTTGAGACCCTAAGCCACTAAGGGGACAAAGCTTATCTCCCTGGCGGGAGCACTACCTCTGCCCACTTTACTTCAACCTGCCTGGCCCCCAGTGCAGACTGGTTAGCCAATGATGGGTAAGATTCCTCCAGGGAAGGACAACCTAAGACAGGCATGGTCATGAGGGGGGCCCTCAGGGAAGGACTTGGGGGCTATAAAAAAAGGGGGTGATGGACCTTCACCTCTTGGCTTTGACGTAGCCTGAGTCCTCATTCTGTCCGCAGTCCAAGCATGGAATGAATTCCCCCCCCCCAATGTTTTATGGCCCTTCAGCTATCTGACCCTGTCTCAGAATAGGTCTTCAGAGTTCTTTTAATGTTATCTATTTGATCATTACTGCCTGACAATAATTGATGAGCTTTCCATATATGCCCTGGATTCCTATGCAAATTAAGCCAATAAAAGCCTGTCAAGGCAAGGTTTGGGGTATTCTCCTTTTGAGAGAGTGGCCATGCCATCCCTTTTCCTCTACAGAACTCAGTAGTCCATGTGAATTTGTCTCGTCTCATCCACAACACCATAGACACTGTAGGACAGTGTTCGTCCGCATCAGTTCTCCATTGTAAATGCTTTGCCTCCCAAGTAATTTAACAGAAAATTATTGATGAATGAATAAATTATATAGTGTTTACAACTTTATGAAGTAAGCATTATATTAGCCTCATTTTATAAATAAAAAAGCGGGTTTACAAAAAGTAAAATAGTTGGACTTCATATGTTGGTGAACAGGTTAGCAGCTGTTCAAGGTCTACCTTTCTCCTTTGGAAACTTCAAAAAAAGACCATTGTGTCTTGAAAGTTTGTAGATCTCATGGCAATTGTCATCGGGGTTGGACTTTTGCAGGGGTCCACTGCGTGTTGTAAGAGTATGGACAGGTGCATGTGAGATCTTCAGAGCTAAGTGCATGTTCAGTGTGATGGTGTCTGCGATAGCACAGTTATCAGCCTTTAACATGAGCTTCAGCTAAGTCACGAATGTTTCATGACTTGATATGTCTGTTCTGACTCGGCGATTCTTAATATCCTCGTACTTATCATGAAGAGCCTCCAGGTCCTGCCTCCTTCAAAACAAAACTAACACCACACTTCTAATCCATTTCATGTACCATGACGCTTTTCCACCAAAGAGAAACAAGCAAGCATCCAACTCTGTGCTGGGGTCAACAGCTCCCACGGCATGATGTTAGTGGCAAAGCCTAGTTCCACGTCTGCTAGCTGAATCCAAAGTGGCTTCCGCCCTTAATCAGCTCTTTGCAACATAAACAAGACATGGTACTTCACGTGTGCTGCTGAAAACGAAGTTGTTCAGCCCAAGAAAACAGGAAGCACACTGCTCCACTGGATTCGATTAAAACACATTGGGGGTTTAAAAAAAAAAGTAACTTTTGTTCTGTCTCAGTGTAATTGCTCTAAAAATCTCTATTATCTGTGTCTATTCTGAAATGGCGTACATGGAAATGTTAACAGTTGTGAGTTTTATAAGAAATCCCTCATGTCCTTCCCCATCCCTGCTTTTGGGATCCAGGAATTTTAAGACTGTGGTGGAACACTAATCTCCAGAGATTCAAAGCAGGGCAGTTAACATTCGAACATCACACTTTATTGTAAACAAGAGAAAGAGTAAGAATGTTTGATGGGTCTCACTCTCTTGCTGTCCTTAAATTTTGCTCTACAGGAACATGAAAGAATCAGAGCACAGAGCAAAGAGCCCCCCAGCCCTGTTAAACCGAAGCAGTTAAGGAAACTATAAAAAAGATGAAATCAAATGGCCTTAAAAGAAGTGTCGGGTCCCAAGGAATGAAGAATAACAAGCTATGCCCTTCGTCAGCATTCCTGATAGGGTGATGTTAACACTACCGGGAGCAATAATACCAGAAAGGGCAAAATGCTCTGATGATGAGAGATGGATGTGACAAGTGGTTGGTACAACCACCCTGTAAGTGATACACATGTAATTAAAGCTCAAGAGTATGCACATCACATCCTCCTTGGACCCTTAGGAATTTGGTAAGAATTCCCCCCTGGCCTTTGCACATGATGTTTTGTGAACAGGTTGCAAACCTTCAACTAAGTGGGCAATTCCAGCTAGCCGATGTGTTTTCTTGGGTTCACACAGTGGTTTTGTTTTTCTCTTGAGAAGTTGGAGGAACTGGAAACACTGATCTCCACAACTGTCAGTGGGAGCTGAGCAGCTGGCCTCCTTTCAATGTGTGTTTGCTACAGTTGCTTCCACTTCAGTTTTTTTTATACTAGCACCTTTTATTCATTGCATCATCTGCTTGTTTCCTTTAGGGAAGAGTGTGCAAGTCCTACTCTGCAGAGACTGTCCTTCCCATCCATCTCCACCTGCTCAAATCCTAGTCATCATTCGTGGTTCACCTCAAATGTCAACCCTTCTTTCCTGTCTCCAACAACCTGATGTGAGTTCTCCCTCTTTTTGTAGCATACACAGTATCCAGTAATAATATTGTTCTTAGCTGTATTGTGTTTATCTTGTTATTGTAACATTCATAAACTTACCCATTCATTCACTCATCCATTCATTCATCAAGAAGTTGTTAAGTACTAGGTGCCACATACTAGGTTAGGTGCTGTGGATACTGCAGCGAACAAGAGAAAGAAAAACAGGCCCTCGCGGAGGCATGGGGAGCAGGATCTGCCTCGCTCATCTTTGCTTCTGCAGCAAAGCACAGGAAAGTGCCTTGTACCTCATAAATCACTCAGTTGCATTTTTTGAAGTGAGTGAGTGGCAACTCTATTAACTAAGTCTATGTCATTCTATTTTTAAAAGCACTAGGACTATAGATCTTCAAAAAGCATGCTGAAAATGAAATTTTATTCATGTTTAGTAACCACTAAATACTTCTTCCATTCCAGTTACTCTGAACCACCAAGGTTTCGTCCTGACAGGGCACTCAGATGTCCCCTAAACTTGTTTACCTGGGTAACTGCTGAAAGAGAGGCAGCTACTGCTGGTGTCTTTATCTCTGATGTTGAAGTCCCAGTGTTTGTATATCCTGAGCATGGCCGCATATGTGTACCAGCTTGAGTGAGCGAAGTAGATGTTCTCAAATCCAGGAAGAACCTGTAGTCAGAATCACAGTGAACAATATAGATAATGACTACAAGTGATATATAGATATATGTCATAAATGATTAACATAACTGAGACACAAATTGACACAATCCCTATATACTTACTTCAGTGAAGTAAGTGTACGGGAGATGCATAGAGAAATTGACTGTAAGTGAAGTAAATGTACAGGGATTGTGTCTATTGCTCTATTTACTATCGGAAAGTTAACCTTTAATGTGCACACAAGATAGACTGTCCTAGTGCGCAAAAGGGAAGATTCTGGAAAGTCAGAGGGACAGGTAGACACGGAATAGGAAAAATTGTGGAAGAAATACAGGTAACACCATGTACACCAATTCCCTCCACAAGTGCCTTCCAGTTCTTCACATCTATGACAGAGGAACCCAAGAGCTGATCTAATATAGCCAGGGCCAATGAGATGTTACCATACCTGGGTGTCACACAGAAAAAAATCTGTGTGGACCAGAGCAAGGAAAAAGAGAAAGACTGCTGTGTGTCTCACCTTAATAAGAGCAGAGCAGTGTCCCATGTCCCATCTCTTAAAAACCTTCAGGCTGGAATCTTTTGTGGGCGAAAGAGAGGGAATCAGATCCAACAGGTCTCCAACGGCATTCAGGAACTGAATCTGGAACAGGGTCATGGGCTGGGGGAAGACAGAGACCATGATCAACACTGATTTGTGACAGCCAGATGCCATTTTCTGTTGTGTCTCTTGTTAGGGATCCATTATATTATTGCTTTGTGAAGGGCCCCTAATGTAACAGATGCACTAGATTTCATTGTAAACTTATAAAATATTTTTTACTTTATAGTTTATGAGTATTTTAGCATGTTTTAATATCCACAGACTTGGGCAAATTCTCCTAAGACAGCTGCCTCTCCAGGTTTTCTCAGTCTCAGCACTAGTGATAATTCTTTTTGGGGGGTGGGGGGTGCTGTGCATTCTAAGATGCTTTACAGCATCCCCAGCCTCTAGCTACTAGACATGAGTAGTACCTCCCAGTGTTGACAACCAAAAATGTCTCTGGGTATTACCACATATCCTCTGGAAAGAAATCACTCCTAGTTGAGAGTCACTGCTTTACAGCAAACACATTCAACTAAGATTTTTCTTTTTTTTAAAGATTTTATTTATTTTCAGAGACAGGGGAAGATAGGGAGGAAGAGAGGGAGAGAAACATTGATGTGCGAGCCATTGCTTCTCCCAAGTGCACAACTAGGGAACTTGGCCCACAACCCAGGCATGTGTCCTGACTGGGAATTGATTTAGTGCCCTTCTGGTTGGCAGGCCAGCGCTCAACCCACTGAGCCACACCAGCCAGGACAGGATGCTTTTGATTTTGATGGTATGTTTAACGTAGGTCTAACTGACTTGACAGCATTAACCCTGAAGCAATGATCGGACTTGAACATGAACCTTGGGCTAACTGGATAAGCGCTGCTCTATCGAGGTTCAGCCCACTAGGCACAGGCGGTGGGAGGACTCACACAAAAGAAATTTTAACCAAAAACCAAAACAAAAAACCCAACCTAATTATTCAACTTAAAAAATGATAGGGTCTTTACTTCATTAATTTTTCTTATGCTGAAAATCTCGATATCCAACATTTGTTGGAGAATCACATAATAATTAATAAATAAGAATATAAGAATACTATAGTAAGCTCTGTTCTGAGTACTCACAACTGTAAAGGTACTTTTGCCCTCCCCTCTATTTACTTGTTTGTTTTATCTTACTGTATCTATTGAACTTGATCAAATTTCAAAATAACAATACCAATATTATTATATAAGATTACTCAATATAATTTCAGGTCATTTTGTTTTAGGGTTTTTTGGGGGATTCTTCCTGTTCTTAGGACCTGTCGCACTAGGGTACACAGTGATAACTGTTCTAAAGGCACCTGCAACAACTACTCTCCGTATGGTTTTGCTATGCGCTTGATACACAGTTAACTATATTTCTGTCCATTTGTTTCCAGATTTCAGGAACTGCATTTCTTCTTTGTGATTTAATTTCATTTTATAGTTATCAACAGCATTTGCCTGGTTCCAAAGCCAAATGTAAACGTATAAACAAGTTACATTCGAAGAAATGCAGCCTTTCCCCTCCACTTCCTTTTCTTCCTGCTTTCATAAGTAATTCTTTTTTTTAATTTTAGATTTTGGCTTATTCTTTCATTGTTGTTTCTTCTTGAAAAGATATGCAAATCTGTGTGTCTGTTTATCTATCTACCTGTCTCCCTCCACATCTTATATAAAAGGTAGCACACAATACACACTGTCTTTATTTTTCACAGAGTAACAGGTTCTGAAAGTCCCTCCATAATAGTGTAAGGAGATCTACCTCGTTCCTGTCTGCATCTATATCATTTATGCAACTAGTCTTCTATATTTTGGCTGTTTTTAGTCATTAGTTATTATAAATTATCTGCAATGAATAGGCTTCTATTTTTGCTAGTGAGCCTTTGTGATAATTCTGTAAGTGGGTCAAAGGGTATATGAGTATGTGATTTTGGTACTGACTGAAAAATTCCTGCTGAGTGGATACACTACTTTGCATCCTCACTGGTGTTTTAGAAAAGTGCCTTTCCCCCATAGCTTGGCCAACAGAGGATGCTTTCACATTTTAGAATTTGTGCCAAAATTTGTGACAAGTGAAAAAGTATTACTCAATATGGTTTTAATTTGAATTTCTATCTTATGAGCAAGACTGAGATCATATGATTTATAATTTTTGCATCACTTTTCTATGAACTGTCTTTTTTTGTATATTTTTGTCCAGAATATGTGTGTGTGTGTGTGTGTGTGTGTGTGTGTGTGTGTGTGTGTATCTATAATCTCCCTCAGGAAACAAGGGCTCCATAATTTTAGAGGTAATTAAATGCTCCCTTTAAATCCTCAATGATTCAGTAAAGCTTTAAGAGAAAATTGTGCATGGGCATGTGTGTGCACAGACGTGTGCATGGACATGGGATGCAGAGCATGTGCACACTTAGACGTTGTGCTTCAATGGTCACATCATGTAGACAGTAGCTTCCTTAGGTTACTTGGACAGCCAGTACACACACCAGCCTCTCTCCCTGACCCAGAAGACAGTGTAATGAAAGAGGTTGAGAAAATGCAGAAGCAAGTAAGCTCTAATTTTGTGTCAGCCAATGAGTCAGGATAAATAAGATGGTACTTGTGTGCAAGAACTTTATATTCTAATCCTAATTTGATCTGCTTCTATACTGGAATGTAATTTTAAAGATTATTTTTAATAAACCCTGTATCAAGTAGCTTCTTAAAAGCCTTACCTTTTCCCCTATTAAGATAGACTTCTTCATTGCTCCTAAATAGAGCCCATCCATTTGTGCCATGACGTAGCCTGTGTGTCTCCAAAACGGGTCATCTTCATAATATTTGATGTTATTTCGTGTCCACTGTTCTTGCTTCCTGACAGAGAAATTAGATTTGTCCCAGAGGTCTCTGTGGTTGCTCATCCAAAGCTAAATTAAACCTGGGCACTTCAAGATAACATATTCTGATAATTATGGTAGTATAATTTAAATTCTGGATCTTCTAACATTCCACTCCCTCTGAAAGACCATCAGGGCAAATCCGAAGTGATTTTTAATTTCTCCCTGGGATAGGACTCTCCCTTCAGAGCTTCCTCTGTGCTGTAGTTGGAGCCAAAGCACAGGTGTAGCGTTAACCTGACTGGGATACCGAGACCTGAGAAAGTCAAGGAGAGACAGTCCCAGTACCTTCACATCAAATCCTAACATCTCACTAGGTCAGTAAGTCAGTTACACTTGGTAAAGCGTAACTTTACCAAGAGGTAAAGTTAAACAAGAAAAAATAAGAACTCCCAAGGGCAGGGTTGCTTGTACATGTTTATATTTTGTTCAGATCATTTTTATAGTTCCTGGTTCATTCTATTTCAGTTGTCACTAATCATTTCCTCCAATCTCATGTCCTAGCATGCTCAGCAAAAAAAAAAAAAACAAAAAAAACAAGTCTTGTTTTTCATAGTCCTTTCACTCTGTCTCTTTCAGTTCTATGCACTTCGTGGGGGCTGCTGTGACACACCTGTGTGCTGAAAGTCATTTCTGGTTTGGTCAGGCTACCTCTAGATCGGTTTTAGAATACAGCATTATTACTTTATGGGGTCTAGCCCAGTTAATGGTTTTTAACTGATACTCTGTAGGACTTTAGCATTTGATGAAGAGGTTCCTTGGTGTGTAATTTGGAGGGCCAAACCAAGAGCTCTTCTATCCCCAAATTAATCTCATAGTCCATCATCCCACAGATATATGACAAATTTTCTGAATATTGAGAGTTACTAGTCTTCAGACAATTTTATTAAAGTAGAAATATTCTCAGAGAATGTTAAGAATTACGACTTTAGATACGGGCTAACACTACAGTGGGATTAGTCCCCAGGCTGCTGAAAAGGAAGCACCTGACAGAAGAAAGAGGGAGGACCCCAGAGGAAGGAGAGTCACCCCATCCCATGCCCTCCCGCCAGGGGTGGGGATGGGGGAAGGGGAGGGAGCGATCCAGGGATCTGAATTTGCCTGCTGCACACCGATGGTGTCCTCCTCCAGCTGTGCAACTGCTAACGTGATATTTAACCTGACCTCCAAAAGAGCCCAAATTAGAGGGCCTGGTGTCTGCAACCAGTTTTCATACTATCACCAAAATGTGCTACACCTCACTACAATAACAACTCCAGAGTCCTGCCTGACGAACAGAAAAAGAAATCGGTGAAAGGCAAATCATGGTTCGAAAGGACACATTCAGGCCCCGCAGCTTCAATGAGAAGAGAAAAGTGACTGTACATACTCCATGAACTCCTGCACTTTATCCACGATGGAAGGTTTCTTAATCAGCTGTGGGTAGAGGTTTATGAAGTGGTCGTGTATGTGTCTGAAACGATAGATCAAAATGGTTACATTTCCATTTTTCTCCTTAGATTTCTCCATCACAGTCAATTACCCAATCTTTTGGCTAACTGGAATGTCCCCTATTGCAAAACTTCTCTAATATTGCTTTTATAAATCAAACAGTTTAGAATTGGGAAATATTGCTAATGTATAGAAAAGCATAAAATATAACTCAAGTATCCATTATATAACCTTATTAAATCACTCTATTTTGCCATATTTGCTATATATATATATATATATATATATATATATATATATATATATATATATATATTAAAATAGGGCCCTGGCTGATGTAGCTCAGTAGATTGAGCACGGGCCTGCGAACCCAAAGATCACAGTTTGATTCCCCTTCAGGGCACATGCCTGGGTTGCAGGCCAGTTCCCAGCAGGGGCCAGTTCCCAGCAGGGGATGCAGGAGAAGCAACCGTGAATTGATATTTCTCTCCCTCTCTCCTTCCCTTCTCTTCTAAAGATAAAGAAATGAAATTTTTTAAAAATTAAAAAAAAATAGATGTGAAGCCCCTGTGCACACCTTTTTGTCACCAATCCTGTCCCTTCTTCCCAAAGGAAACTACAATTTTGAATCCGTGATTGATTATACCGTCATGTTTCCACTGCATATATATTTAACCATAAACAATGTAGAGTATTATTTATCATATTTCAGAACAAAGTGTAAATAAGACCATATCTACCACTTTAACTTGTTTCTCTCAACATTACTTTTTAAAAAAATCCTCACTCAAGGATACATTTTACTGATTGAGAGAGAGAGAGAGAGAGAGAGAGAGAAAGAGAAAGAGAGGCATTGATGTGAGAGAGAAACAATGACCAGTTGCCTCCCGTATGTGCCCTGGCCAGGAATTGAACCTGCAGCCTTTTGGTGTGTGGGATAATAGTCTAACCAACCAAGCCACTTGGCCAGGGATCAACATTACGTTTTTAAAAGAAATATCTGTGTTATGGTCTGCAGCTTAAACTTATTCTTGGCAGCTGCTGATGGTATGACCACTATAACAATTCATGTATACCTACCCATCATGGACATTTAACTGTTTTTTAATTTTTCACGATCATATTGCATTATTAAATATTATTGTAAACATCTTTTTACATACTTGGATGTTCTTCTAGTATATACATACTATATAAAAGTAGGGTATCTGGGGCAAATACTCTATACAGCTAGAGGGACTCAATATTGCCAGTCTGTCCCCCCCAGTGACTGTGCCAGCTGCCCCCGCCCATGTCGGACTTCTCCTGCCACTGCCTCACCAGCACCGGGTGTGGTTAGACCTTCTAGTTTTAAACAGTTTCGTGGGTGTTAAATGGTTTCCCATTGTTTTAATTTCCGCCGCCCCCCCCATCCCAGGATTATTGGTCATTTGGAACTCTTTATTTTAAAACTTACTTTTAAAAAGTTAAATGTGTCTCAGAAGCTGTACAGAAAACATTTTTATTAAGATATAATTGACACCTGTAACTTATACAATAGCATTGTGTAAGTTATAGGTGTACAACACCTTGACTCAATGCATTTATATATTACATTATAATTACCACTGTGGTGTTAGCTAACATCTCTCTCAGGTCCCACGATCATCACTCCTTTTTGTGGTGAGAACTATGAAGATCTAGTCTTTTAGAGGCTTTGACATTTATAACAGACTGTTATTGACTACCATCACTATTTGTCTATGAGGTTCAAGTTTGTACCCCTAAGCAACACCTTTCAATTAAAATCTTAACTGATGAAAATAATCCATTTACACTTATTGTGATTTTATGTATTTGGAGTTATTACTACAATCTTTTTTGTTTTCCATTTACCATACTTTTCTTTAACCCCCTTTTGTTTTCTTTGTTCAGATATTTTCATTATCTTTCTTTTTTACTTCTGCTGAGTTAGAAGATGTAAAACATATTTTTATACTGTAAGTAACAATTAAAATTTTAAAAAATACAACTTTTCATTGCCTTAGTAAGTTTAAATGAATTTTATATTAGGTTGGCCAAAAGTCCATATGGTGTTTTTTCTATAATTTAAAAGACACGCTTTTTATTTTCACCAATAACTTTAGTGATTTGGATATTTTGAATATATTGACTATCTCCCATGTGGTATAAGTTGATTGTTCTCAATGTCTCTATTTGATCACTATCAACTTCAACTGGTCTACCTGACCATGGAGCATTGTCAAGCAAGGAATCTCCCGCACAAAACTTCACAAACCACTTTTGACATATTTGATCAGTCACGGCAGCTTCTGCAAACACTGCACAAATCTTTTTTGCATTTCAGTTGCATTTTTATCTTTCTTGAAATAATAAAGCATACTATGCTGAAAATGTTATGTATTTTCTCCCATCTTCAATATGAAAATGGCCACACAAAAATTCACCAGTTTTGATAAGCTTCTTTTTAAATGCATGCTGACATGACAGCTGTCTGAATGCAATCTAACAGTATCTGTTTTTAATGAAATTAAAGACAACTAAGCACTACTAGAGCCATCTTACAGAAAAAAAATGAACTTTTTGGCTGATCCAATATTTCTCTCCTCCTCGAAACATAATGCATATTTTAGCAAGCTTTAACTGCCTACTGATATCTCCCATTATATTATTGTTCAAAGATTTATATTATTGTTCTCCCATTATATTATTGTTCAAAGAAATATTTAAAAATATTTCTATTTAACTTTTTTCCTAATTTTTGACTTTTACAATAACATTTTATTAATTTCTTTGTTTAGTGGAAGTCTGTGGGTGGTAAACCATTTTATTTTATATATTTGAAAATATACTTTTGTGACCTTGCTCTTGAATCATTTAAATGGTTATAAAATTCCAGTCATTCTTCCTCAGTACTTTTAAGATGTTACCTTCCTACCTTCTGACTCTGCTGCTGTTGATGAGAAGTACGCTGTCAGTCTTGCTGCAATTCCTTTGTCGGCAATGTCTTTCCTTTCTGGTAGATTTCAAGATTATTCTCTCTATTCTCAATTTTCTGTAGTACTGACTCTGTTGTAGCAATTTAATAATCTGTGTCTTCCAACTAATGACTCATGCATTTTTCGATTTTAATAAAGCCTCAACTATTACCCTACCAACTATTGCTTATATGACATTCTCTCCAGTCTCTTTTTCTGGGACTCCTAATGCGTGGTTTGTCCCCCAAAGTCCAGCCATTGTTAATCCAACAAAAATGGTTTGTGTGACATGGACGCAACCTGGCAGCCGAGGAGAGTGGACTGGAGTGTACGTGTGTGAACAATGACAACCTCACTGCGCTAGTCAGAAGGGATGACTAGTCACTGAGTGAGTGTGTTTATTGTGTGGCCATCATATTCAAACTGACTGAGTGAGTAGAGCAATGAATCTCCCTCAAATTTTGCACTAAACTCGAACATTCCTCCATGGAAATGATCTTGATGATTCAGAAGGCTATAGCTACTGGAGACTGGCAACTTCATCAAGACAGCACACCCATTCATGCATCATTTTTGAATTTTTCTGAGAAACATCAAATCACCCAGGTGACTCAGCTCCCCAACAGCCCAGATGTGGCACTCTGTGACTTCTGGCTTTTTCTAAAACTAAAATCACCTTTGAAAGGGAAGAGATTTCAGACTATCAGTGAGATTCAGGAAAATATGACAGGGCAGCTAATGGCAATTGGGAGAACTGTGTGAGGTCCCAAGGTACCTACTTTGAAGGGGACTGAGGCATCATTGTTTTATGTACAACATCTCTTGTATCTTGCATCTTCTTCAATAAATGTCTCCATTTTTCTTATTACATGGCTGGATACCTTCTGGACAGACCTTGTATATTGGTGGTTTTTTAACTCCTCTCTCTAATAGCTTTCTATTTTTATCTCTTTATTTCTTTGGGCAGCATATTATATAATCAGTCATTACTAACTTCTGATACAGAATTTTTTCTCTGCATCTAGGAATTATCAATTTATCAACATTTTTAGAAATTAATTTCCATAATTTTATTTATAACATTTCAAATAGGTTATTTTAAAATATCTTATTCTTTTGTTCCATAAACTCTTCTGTTTTCCTTCATTTATAAGTCAAAGTTCCATAAGAATATTTAAAGCTTTTGTTAAAACATTGTATAAAATTAATCTGGGGTATATTCATGATAGTGTTGATTTTGTTGACTTTTTCTTAGCATTCAATCTGTATATTTTGGAACTTTAGGGTGCAGACATTTTTATTTATTTGACATCTCTCTGTCTCTCTCATTTTCCCCTTAGTATATCTCTCTGACTCCCTGAGAACTAGATCTTAGAATAACTTTGGGGACTTCTTTCCTATGGAATACTGGAGCTGAAATTGTAACTGAACCCACATATGTGGGATTTGGTTCTAGGTTGCCCAGGCCCCTTTCCCAAGCTCTTGGTTTCTTATAAACCTTTAGGCTAGGGTACACATCAATAGAGCTTACTCCGTGGTTGCCTAGTGCACAGTCGAAAGTAGCAAAGTAACTTGGGCTCTCAGCCTCGACTCAGCTCACCCAGCACACTGAGGCCTTCATGCATCAGCAGGTTGGGCTGTCTTTGCCTGATCCAGACCGAGGGCCCAGCAGATTCATACTTCAGCATTCTGCTTTCTGTTCCTTTTCTTGTTCAAAAAATGTTTAATCTCGTTTGGGTGTCCGGCTGAATTACTATGATGCTCTTTTGATATATTTCATCTATCATGGGCTGTAAGTTTGGAGCAAAGTCAGTCAAATTGTGAACACCTTGACTCTCTGCACTGAAAGCTTATGTAAAGGCCTAGTTTTGGTTTTCATTTGATGTTTTTTACTGACCAGGAAGGTCAGCATTGTAAACAGGAAGTGACTCAGATTTCAAGATGGGGAATTTGGTTCCCTGTACTTTCGAGATTTAGATACCCTTTATCTAGTACAGTGGGTCCTCAAATGTCATTCCCAACATTTTGTTGTAACATTGATGAG